GTACTTACACAGCGGTTACCTTGGGGTAAGTCTGCCAGATGCTTCCAATTAGAGTAATTGTACTTTAACTTTCCTTGAAAACGATTGTCAAATAGGAGGTCCCTTTTCTATTCTAGAAAGGAGAGCACGGTGACTTCAACTTCTTGTTGGTTGACCCAGGGTCTTGAAAGAATGCTGCACCAGAGAACATCCAGTCCTCGTTAGTTGTTGCTAAGGGTCAGAATGAGTTGCAAAGTTTTAATGAGCCAGAGTAAGTTTTCTTGTGGCATTAGACAGGAAGTACCTTCTACAGAGGTGAACTGTGTAAGATATCTCTGGAGCCGAGGTGTGTCTAGAAGAGAAACCATCCTCCTTGGGGCAACACATTGTTGGTCAGACTGGATTCTCTCAGTCATGACTATGCTAAGGAAATGATAGCTAGGTAGCTGGATAGATAGACAGATCCATCAAATATGTGAATGGGTATGTGTACATATATACATAAAAATACATATGCATACACACATATACATACTATATATATACACATACATACATATCTATCTATCTAGCTCTATATTTCTTCTCTCAGTTGGCAAGGACAGGACTTGCAGATTATATCCCACATCTCACACACTCTTCACTCTTCATTCACCTTATTTTGTTTTTTGGGGATGCCAATCTGGGCTTACTTCCCATCTACACTTTTGTTTCTTCTCCTTAAATGTATATATTTGTAGAAAATTCACAGAAAAACTGAGTAGCCAAGTCTGGTCCATCTTCCTGTTCAGTAAAATGAAAATAACATTTAAAAAACCCAGTCACAAATGTCTGTTTAATAGTTCTTGATTGCTACCATGAGACTGGATTTCAGTATTTCTGAATATGCAGTGCCTGGAAGCTAGCACAAAATGACACTCTAAAACTGCCAGAAATTTGCGTCCTGTGGTGTGGAATGTGAAGGTAGGGACGTGACTTGGGGGTGGCCATGTCTCTTCTTTTGTGAGGGTCACTTTGGCGGGCCCTCTTGGTCATGCCCACTTATATTAAGAAACTACTCTCTGCCCTTAATGTAGCTCAGGTCTTGGGAGAAATCATCCAGTAATGGCATATTAAATATCCTGTTTAATAATAAAAAAGGCTGTCCCAAGTGGGGAGGAACATCTCTACAGATTTTTTTCCTGTTAATAAAGTGTTTGGCATTTCTCTTGACAATACTGAAAACAGATTTGAGCACAGTGGGTGGGATCTGGGGCTTGGGCGAGCAAAGACTGGAGAAGGGATCACCCTGGATGAGGTGCTCAAAAGGTGTCTGCCTTTTAACTAAATAGGCTAGTATTTGCGGTCTATTTCCAGAAAGAAAAAAAGAAGACCTGCCATTATGACATTCATTGGGCATTTTCTATGCACTACTAAGGCAATTGCTATTTCAAATTTCTACTGAATCTCTGTAGAAAACCCAGGGACAAGGCCTTTTGTATCTTGACACAATCCACTGGCCTTGCCTCATAGCCCCATGGGCAGCCTCCCTTCTGGTCAGCTACAGTTTCCCACAGGGAATCCAGGCAACTATTGTACAAGTCAGAAGCCTACGCTGCAAGCAACAGCAAGGAACCCAAAAACATATTAAGTTATTAGAAAGGGGCTTCTTCTGTATCTCCTCTGCTTCTCTTTTGTTGTCCTTATTCCCACACAGTGAAGAACAATTTTCCTCATGAGTAGGTTCAAACTCACTTCAATTCAATTCATGGCCTCCTAGCCTCTTAATCCCAAAGGTTCCAGATAGAAAAATTCAGGGAAGAACTCTGATTGGCCCAGCCTAGATCACAGGCTTGCTTCTGGCCCAATCACTGTGAGAGGAAGGAGGTGTTGTGATTGGTCTGATTTGGATCACATGCTAACATCTGTGTCCAGAGGGGTGAATTATTGGTCTGATTTACAACTGCCACCTCATACCTGAGTAAGAGTCTCTCTGGCCACCAGAGCTACTCTACCATGAACTTGGTAGGTTGCAAGCACTGAGGAATTACTGTCTCCCAAAGCAGCTCTCAACCAGTGACTGGTGGGAGTTGGTGTATAAATACTAAGGTGCTCCTGTCCCACTGGTGACAGAATTCTGAGATATGCATTCAACACCATTTACCAGAATTCCAGAGTAGGATTAAGGTGCTCCTTGCTTAGCATTGCCCTCTTTATCTGCTCCTTTCTCTTCCCTGTCTCCCTCCCTCCCTCCTTTTCTAGCAGTGTTTTCTGAGATCCCCTCCCAAATATGCTTGTACTTGAGTCCTTATGTCAGTGACATCTTCTGAGAAAACCCAAACTAAGACAGTTACCATGAAGCTCAGCTCATCCATGACTCAAATGGGATGCAGCAGTGTGCCAAAGGAAGTGGTAGTTCTGAATATACAAAAAAAAAATCAGGTATTTGTATCATATATTTTTATCATATATCATGAAAAAAACCCCACAGAGCTGCAAACAATGAGAACACACAATAAACCTCTTCCCACTGGACCAACATTTAGACAGAAAAATGCACTTGTCCAGATGAAGCAGGCAGACCTCCCCAGTAGATTGCTCTTGAGAGGAAAACTTCAGAGCACCTTGGGTCCAGGCTACAATGAAAGCTATATTTTATGCAACACTTTTTCCACTATAATCTTGGGTTTCTCCCACCCCAGCTGATTCTCAGCCAAAAAGCTATCATGGCAGAAAGATATGCTCACCTCTTCAGATGCAGTCTAGGGGCTGTGCTACTTGGCTTCTGTCTAGTGACATTCCCATTAGAGAGTTTGGTTTGTGTGATGGCCTATGCATGTGTGGTGATAAAAATACTTTCCTTATCTCTGTGTCTCAGCTGTGGTATTCACCTATTCACCATTTTTCCATTTGGGTTGATTGGTTTCTAAAGCCAAATGTATTCCATGGATGTCATGGGTTGAATTGTCTAGAAGCAGCATTTTAGAGAGGGGCTCAGGTGCATGAGACTCAGAGGGAGTGCTCTTCAGGTAAAACACACACACACACACACACACCTCTAAGGTTGTGAGGGAAACAAACTAAGAAAGATAAAGGGGCCCCACGAGGATGGGGTCTCAGTCTCAGATAAAGTCTAGACTAGGAGTTGTCAAACTAGGGCCCTTGGACCAAATCCGGCAGCCACTGGTTTTTGTGAATAGTTTTATTAGCACGGCCACACCCATTCATTTACATGATGTCTATGTCTGCTTTCTTGCTACCAGGGCATAGTTGAGTAGTTGTAAGAGAGACTGTATGACCTGCCAAACCTAAACTATTTATAATCTTGCTCTTTACAGAAAAGTTTACTGACTCCTACTCTGAACTTATCCCAGTCCATGGGAGCTCCGGAGCATCCATTGTTCCATAAAGTTACCCCCACCTTGAAGCAAGGGGCTAGTCTCTGTACCTCGGTGTCAGCTGGGCATTGGTTGCCAACCATCCCAAGTGTTGAGGGTGAGGTACATGAAGAGTTTTCAGTCCAGGGTGGTGACTTGTCAGCCCAGAACAATTTTCTGGATTCTAGGGCAGCTGTGAGTTATCAGCAGCTGGCAAATAGATGCCTGTGCTGGTGCATGTGCTGGGCACCACCGGCATCTACTGCCATGTTTATTGGGATCCACATGTGTGCTCCATGAACCTGGAAAGAACCTGTATATCCTGCCTGAAACAGCCACATGAACTCTCCTCGACTCCCAGTCTCCTCTTTCACTCTTGCCACAATCCCATTGCTCTCAGGGTGAAGATGGAAACCTTACAAGGTCCCCTGGGTCCTGCCAACCTCTCCAGCCCCACCTCAATCTATTTCCCCCACACTGTACTCCAGCCACCCTTGGCAGTCTTTCAGTTTGTGAGAGCACAGCATTCCCTCCAACTTCAAGGCCGCTGTCCATGCTGTACCCTCTGTGTGGGACATCCCCCCACCCTCCACCTCCCATCGTACTTCCCTGGCATCTAGTTCTCCAGATCTCAACTTGAAGGATAGTTCCTCAGAGAAACGTTGCCGAACCTCTCTCCCCATGAATCCCATTCCCTCTGAGTAGCCAATATTCAGTTCATGTCTTTACTTATTTCTTCTTGTCTTTGCAAACCCTAGCACACAAAACTATGCATAGGTTTTCCTTTCTTCCCAAAAATACTATGTTATTTCATTACTTGGACGTTTGCTTATTTCCCCTTAACATACAAACCATAAACTATCCAATTTGACATGTATAGTATTAACTGATTTTTAACTCATTTTTTTCTTACAGCTGCATGATAGTCCATCATATTTATGTTCATATTATGAGTATGATATAGTTATGCAATAATTTATTTAATAATTCCCTTATTGATAAGAGTTCAGGTTGTTTCTCTGTGTCTGTATGTTTCACTTTACAAACAATGGTGCAAAAAAACGATTCTGAAGAAATATCCCTATATTCTGATGCTTATATTTCTGAAGTCTCAATCCCTAAAACTGATATTATTTGGTCAACATGCACATGCACCTTAAATTTCAATACACACTGCCAGATTCCTTTCTGCAAATATACCAGATCGGCATCCACCATCCATTTATCAGACTGCCCCGTCTCCAACATCTTGGCCAGTACTGCTGTCCTTCAATGCTTTTAATGCTTTCCAATCTCTTGACAAAGAAAGGGCTTTTCATTGCTATTCTGATTTGCATTTCCTTGATTATTACTGACGTTGATCATCTTTTTGTACATATATTGTTTTGATAACAAAAAGAGCTTCCATAATGACAGGAACTTAAGTTAATTTAGAGGGGAGGTGGAAAGTTCTAGGCATATCCTTTGCCCTTTACCCATCCATCCTCAGCTGTTCTCCGATAATAAGTGTGGAGTGGGTTGTTCCCGGTATCTGCACAACCTCTGCCATTGTTCCTGTCCCATCCCCGAGGATGGGAAGTTTGGTCTCCAGGGATGTGGTGATGGTGGGGGTGGGTAAAAGGTCCTGCCCTTTCTGTGACCATCTCCCACTGTCTTTGCTTGCAGACACCACCCAGATGAACAACGCAGTGCCCACCTCCCCTTTGCTGCAGCAGATGGGCCATCCGCATTCCTACCCCAGCCTGGGCCAGATCTCCAACCCCTATGATCAGCAGCCACCTGGCAAAGAGCTCAATAAGTATGCCTCCTTGAAGGCGGTCGGTAAGCGCTGCTTTGCTTCTCTCTCCTCTCCCTCCCTCTTCCTTCCAGACCTCTGTCCTCCAACATTTTTCTTCTTCCGTTTCTGTCTTTCTCTTTCTTCTTAGATCTATCTATCATCTCTATCTTTCAACATTTCTCTCTTTGTTTCTATCTGGAGCCCAAGTGACTAAGGACCAGAGTCCCTCAGCCACTTTCTCTCTGACTCAGATCAAGTCCTACCTCGCCATGTGGGGCAGGGTGGGTGGGAGAGGGGCCCGTGTGGGGGCTACTTCCTACAGAGCAGAGCCTGCCTGGATGCTGTCTGGTCCCACTGACCCCCTGGCCCCTCTGTCATCCTCCATGTGCCCTAGTGAACCCTCAGGGAACCTAGACACAGAATCCAGGGCACTCTGTCTCCAGGTGCCTTGCCCATAGGTGGCTAACACTCCTCATCTACACCTGTATCCATCTTGTGAGGTGCAGCATTCCTATCTTGGCAGTTTCTGCTCTTTGGGATGCAGTGGGCAGCCTGGACTCACTGCTGAGTGTTTACATGTATTGGCCCTTTAATACACTCTGTCTCATTTTCTCATGATGACCCAGAAGGGAAAGCACAACTGTTATCCCAATGGTCAGGTTAGGAAACTGAGACTCAAGGGGACTAAAACTTACCTTGGCCCAAATGAAGCAGCCCCTGGCCCACAGAGCTGAAGCTTGAACCAGGAGCCTGTGCTTTCGCCACTGTCCCACAGCCCTGGTCCTCCTTCAGTGCACACCCCGCTCCCACTCCTGCATGAGGGCGTGTGTCATGCATGACCCTGACGGTGACCTGGCTCCCAAACAGATCACTCATGGAAGACTTCTGTAGGATGGAAGCAAACTCTGGGTAGGCCCAAGATCCACAAACCATGTGCTTTCTTTAATTCCCAACTGCTCATTTCATTTTCTTCCCCTGCTGCCAAGCCCCATGTTAGAGATGGACCGAGAGACACTTGCTGATCGATTCCAGGAGATCTATTTCCAGTATAGCGTAATCCCAGAAGCCATAGCACAGACACTGTGGCATGGCTCTGATGCTCACAGTAACCATGGTCTGCCAGCATCAGATTCCCCAGAGGAGCACATTGGAGCCCAGCAGAGAGCCTGCCACACACTAGGAACTAAGTAAGCATTTGGACCAGGAGTCTACCTTTAGGAACTTATGTTCTCTGATCTCCTGGAACTTCGAGATGCGATCATCCAAAGAGGGGTTGAACCCAATTTATAACAAGGGCCTAGGTTGTGCAGACTGACACATGCTTTTCTAAATCCCAAGCCTCATACAGCCTTACATACCAGTCCCCACATTTCATGTTGAATTTCTGCACACAACTCAGTCCTCATCTATGATCCCAGGTTCCCTCTTTTCTATAATGTGTGTTTGCATAGCATATGCATCCTAAGCATGTTCAAATAGACTCAAATATTACTAGGGAGGGATGAGGGCTGTTTCCTAGGAGAGAGAGACTGAGGGCATCTGTGCCGATGGAGCTGCAGAAACCTTCTATTTGGTGGCCTGCCTCCCACTCTGAGCCTCGCATTTAGCTGATAAATAGCATCTGCTGTTATATTTTATTCTGCTTTTGGCATTAAAAACATTATCCCAGACATCTTTTTCCTTTTGAACTGGTCACATTACCCTAAACAAGTCACTTCTTCAGTTTAGGCCGTGTCTTGCCACCTCCCCTGATTCCAGACCCAATAGCTCTTTGGGTAAATAATGGATGGATATTCCCACAGAGCTCCCTGATTCTCTCCAGGATTCATGCAGGGCCTCTGTGCGAGGCACATGTCTGCAGTGCATCTGGAATTAAATTTGCAGTATAAAATACAACACTTCTTGCATAACCCTTTCTTTCAGAAAAGAAGAACTCTTGAAATGTTTGCTGAATGAATGAATGAGCTTGTCTTTGGCATAAATCAAAGAATAGCTTAGGTATAAGGGAACCTTCCTAATCTAGAGAGCTCTGAAGGATCTCACTCCCCAATCCTCTTCATTTCTGTCCTGCTTCTCTGACTATTGTGGGAGCTCACAGGGTTTATTTGGGTTACTGATGATCTTGTAAATCTCTAGGAGTAGAGGTCCAGAGAGGAGCAGACAGAGGAACTGCCTGACCAATGGGCTACCGAGGTATCCAACATCTACCCTCACAATGAAATGCAAATCCCATAATAAACATTCTTTCAAGGGTTCTTTATTAAGGCATAATGTGACCACAGTGTGAATGATGAAATGCATTTCATTAATGAAATCATTACCACCCAGGAGAGCAGCTGCTTTAAAAATGGTTTGCTGTTGAAATCTCGGCCACTTCTGATAACCAGACTCGTTTTCTAAAAAGTTTGACCCAGTTCATATGAGGAGGTTTGGACAGCCTTTAGGGTTAACCACCAAGTTCAAAAATGTTTCTGGGAAATAAATTTCTCTTGGCAGCTTTAATATCCAGAACACCAGGTGGGTTTGAGCCAGTCACCGTAACTCTCCGACCTCAGCTTCTTCACGTGAAAAAGGAGGAATGAAAAGTGGGGGAACTTTAAAATTAGAAAATTAACCAATTCCAATTGGCCCTTTAATACACACTGTCTAGCTGTATTAGTATATATTCTAGTTATTAGAATGAATACTGGTGGACCATTAATGTGCCACATTCAGTCCCTACCAACTCAGAAGAGAAAAGGGCGGTAACATTGGATCTTTCTATTTAGTTTAGTTTAGTTCTCTTGTTGAAATCACATTCGTGTTTAAAGCAAGCCCTTTTCTTTCTATAATTTTGTGATTCGGGCATGTGCACCTGGTTATATATAGTATGTGTCTACAGAATAGTTTGTATTCCCAAGTGGTTCACTGTCCAATTATTGGTAAAAGACCAGCACGCACTAGGGACGCATCAGAGGCTAACCTCCTCCGACTCCACATGAGGAATGAAGGGGTTGAATTAGGATTTGTTCGATCCATTCATTTATTCATTCCCTAGACATTTAATCTGGTATCCCTTGATTGTGGACCCCACTGAAGCATGAACCAAGTCTGACCCATTCATTGATGTATCCCCAGTACCCAGCACCACGGGGAAGTTAATAAGTGCTCCCAGTACATATCCGTAAAGTCAGTGAACAATAGCAGGTGGTAGACACCACACCAATACCACATCAAGGCAGGAGCTTGAAATGATCAGCAGAATGGCAGAAGGTAGCATGGCCCCTGCAATTGTTCAGGACCGAGTTTAAGACCTAGGTCAGACACATATCAACTACTTGCAGAAATTATTAAATTATTATTTAAGCTCCTCCGGTCTCAGTTTCCCCATCTGCAAAATGGCGATTAAAAAAATACACAGATAAAGGTTTGTTTGGGAAGACTCAATGGTGTGTGGAGAGTGCTGAGCCTGGCATGGAGGCAACTCTGTGAATACTGCCATGTATAAAAGTCTCCAGACCAGAGTTGTGTGTTGGCATATTTTTCCTCACACCTCCAAAATACACTGGTATCTGGGTTAACATGCAATTGCTCCGATGTGCTTAGAGGGAGAGAGTGTTGGATCCATATTCTTCATTCCAATTTGATGGGAGAGACATACACACATTGAGAATCTGCTAAAATAAATCAGCAAACAAACAGCAAATGACTTTTCTGATCTGTCCTGAGGACGAGTGAAGGGCCCATACCTCTTCACTCTCCCCATCTATAGCCTGGACAGTGAAAATCCATGCCCAGACATAGGGCTACTCTAATTCCATCCAAGAAAGATCCGGCTTCACTCAATCAACTCTCTTCATGAAGTCATAAATGTAGATGTAAACCTTTTAGATTATTGTCCATGGAGATTGAAATCAGGAAGTGTGTGTTGTGATAGACTGAGCTCAAATATAACCTGAAAATTCAGTGAAGCACACAAGTCCCCTGGTCTCAGCCATCTGCATGAAGCATGGTTACAGATGTGAGAATACACTTTACGGTTCCTCTGAGGTCAGTGTTTGCAAGACAGGAGGGTCACCTGATGACTCAGAGACGGGTGACTTTTGCCTCCAGAGCTGGAAAAAGATGACATTTTTTTTTGTGTGTAATTTCTGATGGTCTTTGCAGACAGGAAATTGTCTACATGTTGGCATTTATCTCCTATTAGCCCCGTGTCCAGCTTTCTCACCAGGTGTGCTAAGAGGTGAACTGACCACGTGCCCTTGCCATGCTTCAGTGCAACCTAAGCTGTTCGGGTGAGAGTGAGAGAAAGAGGCTAAATGTACCAGCCATTGACAAAATGCTGTGGTGCTTTTGTTTCTAATTCAAATTTTTAATAAGAAAAGATTTTCTCTTTTGCTATTTGACAGACGATCGACTATTTTGCCAGGACCACGTTACATTGTCCAGTAGCACTTTGTAAAATCACAGCAGTGGTGCACAGCAGTGTGGCAGGAGTTCCCCCTTCACTCTTGCTCAAGGAATCATGAAAACCCTATGTGATGCATGAGGCCTTGGCTGTAGACTGACTTCTACTAGTTTAATTTTTTTTTTTAGTTAGGGCAGAAAGCGCTAATATCATTGAACTCTCAAGCAGGTTCTTTACGAGCAAGTTATTAGTCCCACCATTTGGCAGATGGGGAAGCTGAGGCTTGATGTGGTTAAGTAGTTTTCCCAAGGTCACATTTTCAGTAAATGGCAGAGTCAAGAATCATATTCAGAATTGCCTGATGCATAATCCTAAGAATCCTTAGTAATTCTTTCATCAGACAATTCTGTCTTCCACAGAGTAATTTCTGGCATCAGGATATAACCAGGAAAAGTAAAAAAAAAAAAAAAAAAAAAAAAAANAAAAAAAAAAAAAAAAAAAAGTTGATGAATTTATTAATTGTTTTTCTCTGTTTGGAGGTAAACATTTTCCCAAGATGCTGACCATAACTGAGGTATGACATTTTTCAGGTGTGCTGTAGTTGAGGTATAATTCACTATAATGAAATATAGAGATCATAATTTTACAACAGTGTGATTGTTGAAATATGCACGCCCTGGAGGTAACCACATCCCAGTAAGGATGAGAAATACTGTGATCCAGCAGAAGGTTCCCTCATATGCCTTTCCTCTCAATGCCTTAGATCCATCCCCTTTTAATAGGTATTGAGTTTTTCACCCCACAAGTATTTAATGTCCATCAAGTATGTGATGGGACAGACCTTCACTGCGCAGTTGGAAGCTATGTGCTATCTTTGCCCTTATTATCAATGGATTTAGGTAACTAATTTGTTACAGCCTTGTCATAGCTAAGCCCTGTCTTAGTAGTGGGGGGCAAAGATACCTGCCTTTAAGGCAAACAGAGATAGATTTGACTGGGGAGTAAGCTGGCTTCCTTGGAGTCAGTGACTAGGCAGGGCTTGTGTCCACCCATGCGGGAAGATCTGGGCCACATCACTACCTCCTGATGTCAATGCCCCAGCTCATCAAGGCATCAGGGGCGGGTCCCACTTAATTTTAACTTCGTCACTCTCCTGCCACTCCAATTTCCCCTCTGTTGTGATTGATGAGGGTGTAGAGTTCATATCCGCAGGAGAAATGTGGCAATTTGAGCGTCCTTTGGCATGCCTGGGAGGCCAACCGGAAATGTTTAAGTGGGCTCGGATCTGTGCTCTGTAATCATGCAGATCACAGACTGTTCCCCGCGTCTCCTCTCAGCTGGCAGCCTGATTTATCTTTGGAAGTTGTTCAGAAACGTGGTGGGATTAGTTTTACCAGGTTGATCCCTAAGAAAGGAAACGGGAGCTAGTAGCACGCGCTGATTGGTCCGGCTTCAGCCAATGGGCAGAGGCTGCTTGCGTACAGGTGGATAGATTTGCCCAGCTTCATTCAGTAAAGCCCAGTCTTACAGGGGAGGCCCAGCAAGGACAGGGGGAGGGTGTAGCTGGCCTCATTCTCACCATTCTTGACTTTATGAAAAGGGTCGCCGTGGGGTTCCGCCAATCATGTGAGATTCCCCCAGGGCTCATTCAGCATATCAGAAACAAAATTCAATTTGGAGAAACTGACTTATAACCAAAAATGCCTGGACTTGCGGGATTCTCAGGTACAAGCTTGACCCCACTTAGCAGTTAAGGGAATTTCTACAGCTTTGGAAAAGTGACTCCGTGGAGAAACTTGAAACCATTCGTTCATTCAACAACCATTTTCAAATACGGGCCATGTATTAATGCAGTGCCTACCCCAAAGGACCTGCTGTCCAGAATTCAGTCAGAGCAGTCAGCCAGAGCCTGCCCCCACCTTGAATTTGGAGCGAACAATGCTCCGCCCTTTGCAGGGATCACAGTAAACTGGGATCCAATGTTTCTCTTGTGAACAGTCTTATCATCAGCTAAAATGACCTCATGTAACTCAGATTTTCCGATCTTTCTTAGAGGGTTGAAATTTAGATCCAGATTCACTGCCTAAGAGTTCTCTCTCCCTTATATAACTCAGAACATCTGGAACCTTATCAGGGGACTTATTTTGATCCTCTACTGGGTATTATATGGATACCGCTTCAGGGCCTTGCAGAGAGAGGTGCGCACACAACCACATTTGCTCATTTCGTCCTTACCCTGCTCCCGGGTCCCCTGGGCCTGTCCCCCCGGGAGGCTGCAGCTGGGGCTGCCAGTGACAGCATGGGCTGTGAGGGTACACCAGCGTGGGAAGCCAGCAAACAGATCAGCCTCTTTTGATTGTTATTTTTTAGGAAGTTCTGATGGTGACTGGGCAGTGGCGACACTTAAGTCACCAAAAGGTACCGTACAGCTTTTTCCAGCCCTTCTGTCCAGGTCTTGTTGGATTTGACATTAATCCACGAAGGCACAGAGAGTCCTGGTGTCTGTGTGTGACCCAGTGCACACATACGTCCGCGTCAGGTGGACCTGCAAGTCCGTCTCAATTCCTGCATGTAGGTGTTTTGTGTGTGTGTGTGTGTGTGTGTGTGTGTGTGTGTGTGTATGTGCACGTGTGCACACATGTGGGCTTTGCGTGGTATGTCTGTGCTCAGGTGCTACTCCTCACTTCCCACAGTTCTTTGGCTGAAGGAAAATGTCACTATAAGAAATCATCTTAGGTTGGACATCCAGGAAATGGATTTTCTCAGAAAGCTGCACAACCCAGATAGCTAAACACAAGTAAATTGAGGTAGGGGGGAAAATGTAACTTCTGAGAGAGAGAGAAACAGTCAAATTATTGGCCCAGGGTCTTCAGAATGATTAACTTTGAAGGAACACAATGCTCTTTTGAATTTTCCTGAGGCACCTTAGAGAACATCCGGAGTTAAGGAGTTGGTTGACTTGCATCTGCGAGTTGGCTAGCAGGGTGACCTGACCACGAGGAAGCTTGAATTTATTGAATTGCCTGCTATGGGCCACACAGAGGGCTGGGCCCTTCACATCATGCTTTCACATAATTCTCCAATGACCAGCTGTGTAGGCATTGCTGTGCCCCTTAGAGATGAGGACATGGGCATCTGTGGTGTAGCTGCTGAGTGGCAGAGCTGCAGAGTGTCTGTCCAACTCGAATTCCTAAGTTACCTCCCACCGGAGTATCGTGGCAGCAGCCCTTATGAGAACAGACCTGGCACCGGGTTGTCTCCTTGCTTCCGTCCTTATGCTTTGTTGGACTTGGTGGTGGGGAGGGTGTAGGTGGAGACAGAGCCAAGGACCTAGAACTGGGATAAATTAGAAGATGCTGCAGGGCTCCGGGTAGGATACTTGCAGGACCATTTTTGCATCCTTAGAAGAGAACTCTGATTTTTGGGTGGAGTCTTGACTAGGGGAGAGTGGACCAGAGTGGGGGCCACCCCTGAGAGACTCTCACAGTCATCCAGGTGGGCAGTGACCTGAACTGAGTGGGCAGAGGATAGAGGGAAGAAAAAGGAGTGTGGGGATAGTTGGGAGACAGAATGCAGCGAATGAGTGAGTACCTGTGAGCACAGAGCATCCAACCTGGCCCGAGGAGTGGTTCTCACATTTAAGCCCCTTGAGCACCCAGGGGATCCCCTGCGGGGTTGTTAAAACCCAGATTCCTGGGCCCCAACCCAGACCTTCTGATTCACTCCCTCAGCTGGGGCCCTAGGACATGAATTACTGAGGGTTCCAAGGTGGCTCTGATGCAGCTGCTCTGGGCACACACTTTGAGAACCACTGTAGTAGAGAAATCTTGCTGGAAAAACTAAGACCCTGGTGTGAGCTCTTCAGGGGTTTTTCTGAAGAACCTGAAGAGGGGAGCCTGACCAGGGCTCCAGAGGCTCAGAAATGAGCTGAGCTCTCGCGGGGCTGGGGGAGTGGGGAGGAGGGTGCACTGTTTCCCCATGTTTGGAGAGAGAGCATTAGATCCATGTGTCCAGTGACAATCCCTTGACTACCCAGTTGTTGCCTTGAGAGAGGCAGATTTTTGGGTCTTGCATTAGATAATAACTGTTCACATGTCAAGGTCCATTTTTAGAAATGCTAACAATTTGGAACATGACAGACCTACTAATTTGAGGCATAAACTTTTTTTTCCCCTCCCCTGTGAAAAACAAAGCTATTATGATTCCTGTGACAGCCTTTGGAGGCAGTCAGCAACCCTGTCCTTATATCGGCCTGTTGATGTTTGATGCATTTAAAGAACATTTTAGTTTGGGTCAAAAACAAGGGCTTGGAAGCTGTTTTTCTATCCCTGCCAGGCTCATTTCACCTGTCCTGCTAAATGCATCTTTATTTATTCTGCCTTGTCTGGGGAGGAGGAAAGGGGTCCCAGAGAGGGCCAGGCCTAAGTTTCTCTGGGGTCTTTGACCTTCCTTTACTATTCTCTACTCAACCTCCAGACCCTAAATCTACATGAGGCATGATAACAAGGTTGGGGGATTTTATGGCACCCACCTCCTGCTCCCTGCCACCTTTTCGAAAGGGAGGCATTAGCAGGGTGTGATGGGATTAGCCCAGATACACCTGGGTTCCTATTGTGGCCTCATCTTCAGCAAGTCATTCAACCCCTCTGAGCCCCTATTTTCTGACCTACAAACTGGAGACAACTCTATCCCCTACCTCCTCGGTTTCATGAGGATAAGCTAAGCCAACGTGTATGGCACATGTCACAGTGCATGGCATATGAAAAGTGAAAAACACACAAAGGCTCTTCCTGATAGGATAATTACTATTATTATCAGGTGAGCAAATGAAAGGCTCTGAAAAAGCTTGTGGTCACCAAAACTGTCAAACTCTGTATTAGCCATCATTTCCCAAACACTTTTGGGGACTGATTTCTTTTGTTTTCAGGAAAACCAGTTAACATCTTAACACCCAGGGGCATGAACGTTGGTGGGAGCCTACTTTAGGAACTGGGGGCTAAGTAGAAAAGGAGGTGGAGGGGTGGCTGTTGCCTGGAGAGATGTGAACAAGACCCGACAAAGTCCCTAAAGATACAAGTTTCCTGCTACCACCCCGATGACCATGCCTCATCATGGTGGGGAACCTTACCTGCCAGGACTGAAATGCACACAGATCATAGTTTGCCCAAGTCCCGTTTCACCACCTGAGATCTCCCAGGTTGCCTCCTACTGGTCACTGCTGTTGCTCCACCCATGCCTAGACTGGGGAACTTCTTCCTGGCTTACTTGCTTAAAACCAGCACGGAAGACACCAACTGGAGCCCATTAGAGTCTCCTAATCAATATGAAGCCCTGTATTTTGAAAGCTGTTTATTTTGCAAAGTGAATTTTTGGACCTGACCTTTCCTTTTGGTCCAGTGCTCCATTCAAGCTCTGAACTTGGGGGAACCACCAGCATCATACTGCGATGTAATCCCTCTGGCTCTGACGGGAATCAGGCGGTGTGCTCTTCGGGCAAACCACTCACATGCTTCAAGCATCCATTTCTTCCACTTCCAAACTAAAGGCAAATGATAATATCCACACTCCATCGGGGTTGGGAGATTAATTTTATCAGACAAGGCAGGTAATACACTTCAATGAAGACAATGAAAAAAAAATACACTTCACTCAGCCTTTCTGCTTTTACAGTTGAGGGAACTGAGTCACCCTGAGATAAATGAGGTCCCCAAAGTCACACAGGAAAATTCCATCATATCCAGGACCAGGACCCAGAGTTCAAAGAATGTCTTGAAGATTTGACCCAGAATTATCAAAGATGCTGTTCCAAGTGTAAATCCTGCCTCCCTACACACACACACATCCCTAAGGAACTGGAACCCTGGATGTGGGGCCTCACCATTTTTTCATTCATTTTTTTAAAATGTACCTTCTGGGTAATTCTAGGTACACTAAAGTTGGTCCTACCTTTTTTCTGAGACCCGATCCTAGACGCAAAAAAAAATTTGCCCCCAGAATACCAATTTTTACATGCCAGCATTCCTCCACACATGAGTATTTTTGCTATTTGCTGAAATAAACTTGTTGTCTTAGTTGGGGTTTGAGCTGGGGTTGCAGCTGGAAGGTAAGAACATTAGAGGTGGACAGTCTTGAATTTGGTGTCTTACTCTGCCACTTGTCAGCCATGGCAGAGTAGTTTGGCAGCCAAATTACTCAGTATCACTGGGCTTTAGTTCTAATCTGTCACATGGAGAAAATGATATTGCCTTGTCACCTATCTTAAAGAGGGCTTAAATGAGATAATGTTGGAGAAATGGCTGAAACAGTGTCTAGTCCATAGTAGGCATGCAATAAATCCTAGTTCTTTTTTCTAAGCAAATTGATTGAGCATAGTGATAAATGTCCATCCAAGCTGTGCTGCAGAACACAAGGCAATGGGAAATGTGAAATCTGAATTACAGTTTCGTTGCTGTGCCCACATCCTGGGAAAGGAGCCGCCGAAAAGCAGCCTTAAGACAGTACTTCATGAAATTCAGACTTTTGCAGTTTTCAGGGTTGGGTTATTGGTTTGCTGGTGTGCAGTAGAGTAAAGAGCAGATGGAAGATAGGGAGGGGATTTTTATTTTAATAAAAAGCAAATCCCAACAGCTCCTGAGTTCAGCCTCTTTTGAAAAGCACATAGCAAACACTGACCTGTAGGGCATGAAGTGAACTGGAGCAGGAGATGTCTGCTTTGCAGAAAATGCCATTTCAGCAAGATTGCAGCAAACATTTTACTAGTTTGACAGTATGTCCCCCTGAGGCTGAGCCAACTGTATCCCATTCATTTCAGACTCCCCAGCACCTTGCATGGTGCCCACTGCCCATAGTAGACAGTCAACGTGCATTTTATTAATAAATGATTAAATGAATCTGGGCATAACATTGGAAGGGAATCCAGTTGTCTTTTCTGAAGAGGCACAGGGAAATAGAAAAATCAACCAGATGGAAGTCCAGAGACCTGTATTCTGGATCCAGGGTGGCTCCCACCTAGTTGGGTCTCCTTGAGTCCATGGTGTCTGTTTCCTTTCTTATAAAAGGGAAGGCTTGGGATCACTGGCCTCTTTGGTCCCCTCTATTTCTGTAAGTAAAGATTCCAGGCTTTTCTCTGATTGATTTACATGTCATGGGCCCTAATGGTTCATGGTGAGGGCAAAGGCTGGGGAGTGGGAGAGTGAGGGGTATGTCACCCAAACCACATGGATTAAGAGCAGGGGAGAGATGGAGCCCCATGGGAAAATAGGGGCTTTTCCTGAAAGTAGGGTGAGTAAATGATTGGTATTTGTATGAGTTATCTATTGCCACAATAATGCTGTGTAACAAATGACCTCAAATCTCCTGGCTTAAAATTTCTTTAGTACAGCATTTGTTGAGATCAGGGGTCTATGTGCCAGTGATTT